TAATTGTGCATTGAGGCTTCCTAAATTGCTGACCCATATAACCTGAACAAATGAATTTTTGTTCTTAAGGTGCTGACTTTTGGGATAGTTTACCATGCAGCAAAGTATGATGGCTACAGGTGAAACACTGCATGACTTTCTCTTCTGGCCTTAAAATATATCATTATGATTCTGACTATCCATGACCAGATATCTTTAATATGAGTTTGGAATGTCCATAAGAATGGTTAGCTGGAGTGGTATAGGAAAAATACAATGGGATGGGTTCACAATTTGGACTTGATAGTAGAAAAGAAGCTCAACTCTTTTAGCAAGTGAGAAAATATCTAAATCAATTGATAACTAAACCGCATAACTTATACTTCTTTCCCCACCATGTGCCTTTTGTCAATTTGGGCCCCAGAGCCTAAGAGAGTTGAGCCTACAGATGAGCCTACAGTCATCCCAGCTGAGGAAAGTATCATAAAAAATTGTGTGAGTCATAGCACTGACGAGCAGCACTGTATTCCTACTTTCTTTATTCCTCATATGAAATCATAGGATAGGAAGACATGAGAGTTTTGTCATCTCACTGAAGAATTGCTTATGAATATTGTTTTTAAGAACAATACATTTTTGTTAACGTAAATTATAGTCATAAAATATATACAAGCCATAAAATAAGTGAAATAAGAGCATATCTTTAATATTTATCTTCTTCATAGGCTTCTGGACAAAGAAAATATGTTACCTTTTTTGATAATTTCCACTAGCTCTAGGACACACTCAAACAAAAAATTGGATCCTTGTTTAGGTCCCAGCTCTGCAATTTAATAACTTCTTGGTCTCAAATAAATCATTTAGCTAGTCTGCCGATTGTTTATTTTCTATTCTTTTTATGAAATTCGATTAATAATATTCCATACTGTGCAATTCTCAGCATGGTTTTGATGATAAAATGAGGTAATGTAATCAAATGGGACCCATTGGTAAAAGCAAAATTATTCAATAAATACTATTGATTGTTGATAATGGCTTGATAGAAGAAAACATTCAACATCACTTACCTGGCATCTGTTCTGTTGCCACAAAGGAGAGCATAACTTTCTCCTTCCAAATAATAAAAGTTTTGTGTTTCTGAGAAATAGGAAAGAAATGATGTTTTATATCTGATTTTGAGTGACCAACTTATCTGAAATCAATTTAACTCTGTACAGAAGATGACTGTTCTTCTCTATGGTGAGAAGGAATGAGGATATAGTATGGCCTTTTTAATCTAGGAGGCTGGCCTAGCTTCCGGTGTACAGGCCAAAGACCTTTGGCAATCCACTACTTCACGGCCTTGAAAGAAACAAAACCCAGCATAGAAAGAGGAGACTCCCTTTCAAAATTAGAGTTCAGGAAAATGCATTTAACCAGCTGGCTANGAAAATTTGATAGACAAAATGACTTGCCAAAGATGTTACAATTATGAGGGATGCCTAAATCCAAAACTTTTGCTCTCTTCACTATATGAAGTTGGTGGAGGATAAAATAATACAATCTTATTAGGATGAAAAAGTGTATAAATTCTAGTTCTATAAAATTTTAGTATGAAATTGGGGCTAATTATAGCCCGTCTAATAGTTTTGTTAGGAAAATCAAATGAAACTATGCATGCAAAGATCTTAGCCCATGGCAAATATGCAATAAACATTAACTATTGTTAAATATAACTCCATTCCATGAACATCGACACTTTGTTTTGTTCATTTTTGTACCCATGGCATATCAAAGAGTACATGGACAAAGTACTTATTTGTTGAATGAATGGAGAATAATATTCTCTGAAGCATGAGCTGTTCTCTTTGGGAATAATCACTGAATTTTCCTACCATAGTCAGTTCAGTTTAGGGCAATGCTCAGAATACAAATCCAGTCCAAATCAAAGAAAACCTCATCTACGCTAGTCAATAAAACTCAGAATGTGATAATGATGAAGGTACTATATGGAATCCAACACCAGGGCATCCTCAGACTGATTTCTCATTTCAGTGGTATTGGGTAAGAATTTCCTTTAAGTCAATACTAACAACAAAATTAGCTAACATACTTTGAGGGCTGTAAAAAAGGCAAGACATTTGCTATTATATAAAGTGACAATCCATAAATATTTACTTATATTTTTTATTTATTAAAACTTCATTAAGCATTTCTACGTAGTAGATGCTAAGAACACAAAAATTAAAATAACACAAAATACATTTTCTTAGGTAGTATATCTCTTAGTGGAAAGAAGAATTGAACACACAATTAAAATAACCACTATCAGAGGCAATTATAGGGTTCCATGGAATTCTGGTATGGGATATGCCTAACTCTGAAAAGAGGGCTTGGGGAAAAGCTCAAAGAAGGAATCTTTGAGGCATGAATTTGAGGCATGAAACCCAAGACAGATAGAAAGAAACTTGAATTCAGGCAGNGTCATGACTTTTCCAACAACCCACTATCTAGTTTATATATATATTGTTTAACAGAAGTAGTAATACACATTTTGGAACAAAAAAAATATATGTATTAAAGAAATCTTTAAATATGTTGGCCATTCTTACCACAGCGCACTCAGGAATAAATGTTATGTAGCAAAAGTGAGCCCTATTATCAAAATCACTTTTGATCTTCTTATTGTTTACCACACACAGATACTGAGCATCTAGTAGAAGGCAATATGATCTGAGACTATGAGAAGATAACTCAAACTCTGTCATTCTAAGAAGCATTTTTACAAATGTGTACCTCAGCTGCTCCGTTCCCTTCTTGAAGTTCTTTTAAAGTATCCTGAAATTTCGATTCAATCTTCTGAGATTTTTCAGTGGCTGCCTGCTTCTCTTCTTCATAGGACACAGCAAGAATGCCCAAGAACAAACTTGCCATATAAAAGGCAAACCAAAAACTTATTATAATAAAAAAAACCATGTAGACCTTCCCAGAAGCATAAAGGATCTAGGGAGAAGTGAAAAAAACGGAACAAAGGAGAGAAATGTTATTTGTCTTCCTGTAATCTCCTGTTGTAAAATAAAGTCGTAAGTGGAATGTAATCACAAGACAGTTTAAATATTCATACCTGGAGAAATACCTAAAAAGCTCTTCAAAAAAATGTCACCTTTCAATAAAGAAAGCTGGACAATCTAGTTATGGAAGATTATTTTCCTTGCAGTAGATATGTAAATATCTTTACATATTATGAAATTTAATATAGTTAGAAAATGAATGTTTGGAGATTACTTTCTTCTGATCATTACTTTATGAAAATATCACAGGTACAAAATCAGGTATTGAAAGAGGCGAGGAACAGAATTATTTCTGTATCTGTCAGAGTGCCTGCTTTGGCAAAGAAGCTTTGGGTGAATCACAAGGGAAAGTCATATAATTCATTTATATGAATTCATTTTTAGATAGAAAATACAAAATTTTAGATTTCCAAACTGAGCATTGATTAGCTTTTATTTCTTAATCATTACCTAAGATAGATCAGGAAATTTAGAAATTTAGAAAATTATATGTAGACATTACAATTCCAAAATATAGTCCACTGATTTATCCTCATTGATTAAAAGTATATGAACAATATTCAAGAAAAAATGGGAATAGTTTTTATTTTTAAGCATCCATGTGAATCAATAAATATTATTTACAGAAAATATTGTGTTGACATAACAGAGTTAAAAATGTTTACA